CGCCGGGGCGGAGGGCTCACCAGCCGGGGGCGACAGGGGGGCGCCGGGCCCCGGGGAGGTCGGCGGGAGGGACCCAGGCCCGCGCGCGCGCCCGCGACGCCAGAGAGGCGGCGGCGCCAGGACCCGGCGGCGCCCGCGGACCGGAAGCGCGAGTCCGCGGACGCGCAGGTGAGGGAGCCCCGGGCGGCCGGGGGGCGCCGGCGGGGGCCGCCGCTGGGGGCTGAGGGGCCGAGGGGCCGCAGGGGGCTCGCCGCGGAGGGCTGGGGCCCGGGGACCCGCCGCGATCGGGCTTGCGGGGCGGCGGGTCCGAGCCGGCCGCGGGCAGCTGGGCCCCGCCTGTGCTGACCCCGCCGGTGCCTGACCGCGTCCCAGCAGGCCCCGGCCCCGTCCCAGCCCGCCCGCCGGCCGGAGCCGAGGAGGGTCCCGGGGAGGGCGGGGGAGGGGCAGCGTCCTCTGCGCCTGGTGCGCGCGTCCCGCTCGGCCCCCACCGGCCGCCCAGGCCCCTCCGTGCGCGCCGTGGGCCGAGGGGGATGCGTGGACCGCCTTGCGGCTTTTCACGTGGAAAAGAAAATGCGACTGATCGCGGGCTGGAGGGGGTCGGACCTCTGCATCCCCGGCGCAGCCACCCCGTCGCGTCCCCCGTGTCGGGCGGCGTCTCACTAGCCCCCCAGTCCAAGGCCCCCGCATCCCCGCTCGCATCTTCTCCCGGCCCCGGCACGTCCCAGCGCCCCGGGCCGCAGGGGAACGGGGGTCCAGTCTGCTGGACCAGCCCCGAGCTCCGCGGGCGCGGAGCGCCGGGGCCTTTTAGAGTCTGGCCTTTCTTGGCTCCCTTCCTGCAATTTGCCCGGAGAAGCGGCTGCCCTCGCCGCGAGACCCACTTCCGGTTCCCTCTGCTGCAGTGCGGTGCTGCCCGGGGCCTGCAGGGCGCCCAGCGCAGTCCCTGCCGGCCCCGCCTTGCTCAGCACTCTCCCCAGCTGGGTTCCTGCGCTGGTCACCTGATGTTTCTTTCCAGCGCGGGCTCCAGGGCTAGCAGAGTGCCCAGTTCATCCCTGCATTGAGTGCTTGTTGTTCTGTTCTGTTTGGGGGCCACATCGGCTGCCTGTGCTCAGGGCTGACTCCGGGCTCTGTGCTCAGGCATCTCTCCTGGCAGGGATATCAGTTGGGTCCCACTGGTGACTTATGTGAAGCGGGAAGGAGAAAGGCCGTCACCCAGAATTTGTCTGGAAGTTTTGAAGCTGTGATGTGGAGAGGGAGGGAGAGAGAGAAGGGGGGAGAGAGAGAGAGAGGAGAGGGAGGGAGAGAAGGGGAGAGAGAGAGAGGAGAGGGAGGGAGAGAAGGGGAGAGAGAGAGAGAGAGAGAGGTCAAGGGAGAACTCGGCTTCCCCAAGGGTGGCGAGAGCCCCTACACACATCCCAGCATTAGATAGGAAAGCATGGAAGTCCACATCTCAAGACGGGAGATGCGGGTGACATATGTGCTCAGCCACATGGGCCTGAGCAGCATGGGCTTGGGCAACTTCTGCGCTCCCTTTGTTCCAGGCTTTTATAAGGGATTTCCAACCGGCCCCCACGTGGGGCTTCTACCTAGACAAAGTCTGTTGCTAAGGACGAGGGTTGGGAGTGGTGATGGTCTTCTTTGCAATTCCTTTCCCGGCCTTTTGTTCCTGCTGGAGCTTCTCTGGAAGATGGGGGTCCAGCCTTCTCTGGGTCTGTTGCTAGCGCCAGGTCAGGGTCTTATCAGGCCTTAGTTCCTGTTTTCTGCAAGATTGGTTCTCCCAACTTCAGGGCTATTACTTCCCAGGAAATTTACTGCCATTGCCTTGGGTGGGGCCTTCCCTGTCTGCCTGCCTGCCTGCCTACATCAGCGGGCTCAGGGGAGCATATGGGGTGCCTGGGATGGAACCTAGGTTGGCCTCTGGCAAGGCAAATGCCCCACCTGCTGTCTTACTGCTCTCACACTCTCCCCCCACCCACTCACTATGAGTTCTTTTTAATTTTTATTAGTGAGACACCATGAGGTACAGTTGTAGACTTACAAATTTTGTGCTTGGGTTTCAATTATATAATGATCAAATACCCATCCCTCCACCAGTGCCCATTTCCCACCACCACGGATCCCAATATCCCTCCCACCCCCCTCCTCCCATCCCACCTTGCCTCTGTGACAGGGCATTCCCCTTTGTTCTTTCTCTCCTTTTGGGTGTTGTGGTTTGCAAAAAGAGGCATTGAGTGGCAATCATGTTTGGCCTATAGTTTACTTTCAGCATGCTTCTCCCATCCTGGGAGGATCCTCCCAACACCCTTTATTTGGTGCTCCCTTCTCTATCTGAGCTCCCTTTTCCCCTAGCACGTGTGGCTGGCCTCCAAGCCATGGAGCAAAATTCCTGGTACTAATCCCGGCCATTCTTGGGTGTTAGTCTCCTATTTTGTTACTTTATGTTCCCCAGATGAATGCAATCTTTCTATGTCTATCCCTCTCTTTCTGACTCATTTCATTTAGCATGATACTTTCTATGTAGTACCACTTGCATGTAAATTTCATGACTTCATCTTTTCTAACAGCTACATAGTACTCCATTGTGTTAAATGTACCAAAGTTTCTTTAACCAGACATCTGTTCTCGGACACTCAGGTTTTTTCCAGATTCTGTCTATTGTAAAGAATGCTGCAATGAATTCTTGAATGGACCGGCAACTTCCTTTGTCAGGAGCCTAAACTACCTCCTTGTGCCCACCCACATATAGAGGTGTGGTCATTAACCATGAGAACACTAACTCAGGGTGTGCTGGGAAACACTCTCCTGCCTATTACCCTCTCTTGATCTTACAGGTGGGAGGAATGAGACAGAGAGCTAGGTCAGCATGTTCAACAGGCTGTCATCAGTATAAGCGCAAAAAAAAAAAAAAAAATGGCAGATTATTCTAGGAGTCCAGAGAGTGAGTGCCAGGTTAAGGCGCATATCTTGTATGTGGCTGACCTTGGTTCGAAGACACATGGTTCCTCAAGCACCATTAGCACTGACCTCTAAGTTAAGCACCGGCTTCTGTAAACAGCAACACCCCCCCCCACACACACACACCTTCCCCAAAGCTGAGGATTCTTTTGTTGTTTTGTTTTTTGTTTGGGGGGCCACACCTGGTGCTGCTTGTGGATTACTCCTGGCTCTGCACTCAGGAATCACTCCTGGTGGTGCTAAGGAGACCTTATGGGATGCTGGAGATTAAACCTGAGTCAGCCATTTGCAAGGCAAACCACTTACCTGCTGTACTATCCAGCCCTTTTTGTTTGTTTGTTTGTTTTGGGGACAGACCTGACAATGCTCAGGGGTCACTCTTGGGGACCATATAGGGTGCCAGGGGTCAAACTTGTGACAGCCACGTGCAAGGCAAGTGTCCTACCAAGTATACTATCTCTTTGGCCCCAAGGCTGAGGATTCTTTTTTTGTGTGAAGTGAGATAGTTTTTATTTAACTGTGAGGGTGGGGGATAGAGAGAGAGAGAGAGAGAGAGAGAGACAGAGAGAGAGAGAGACAGAGAGAGAGAGAGAGACAGAGAGAGAGAGAAAGAGAAAAGACATGGGCTTCTCCCGAGTAAAACCAGGCAAGCATCCAGAATAGAACTAGGCAAGCCAGAAACTTAGAGGCAAGCTAGCGAGATGCATGTTCAGGGGAGAACATGGACTGGAAGAGCGAGGCAGGGCGGGGGCTCTTGAGGGAGTGCCCATCTCTGAGGGTTAGTTTCCCGGGGATCCTCTGGCCCCATGGTGGTCATGTGAGTAGGAAGGGAAAAGCGGGATGTTGAGTAACATCCTGGGCCTGAGGAGGATCCGAGCAGCTTCCGATTGGGAACTGAGACGTCTCTGTGAGAGGAAAAAGTTGAAGATCAGAGTGGGCACTGCTGGTTATGAGAAGTGCCGGCTAGGAGAGACTAGGCAGGGCAGAAGTGGGGCGAGGGAACCAGCAGGGGGAGCAGTGAGCTCTGGGTGTGAGACACCGGAAATGACCCCTTCTTTGCGAGCTTGGCCATTCTCTGCCTGCAGCGTGCGGAATGGAAAGAACCAAAGAGACTCAGAGAAGACAGCTAACTCACTCAAGGTCACGCAGCACTAGAAGCCCAAGTGAAACCCCTGTCCTTGCTGCCAGTCTTACCCACCATCACCTACCCCCCCCATTGCAACCAGAGACCCCAACATGGTGCCTCAAAGAACAAGTCTGGGGCACAGTGCCAGGCCTGATTACTGCCTTCCTTGCCGTCTTCTATGGAGGGGCTGTGACTAGGCCTATTTATAGGGGCTGATACCTTAATATTCTGTCTGGTGCATCTCTTGCCAATCAAATCAGTGCTGTTTGCAGTGTGATTGCTGCTTTAGTGGCACCAGGAGTTAATTAAACCCAGTATAAATAGACTCTGTCCTCGCCTTGCAATGCAAAGGAGTACTTTTCCTTCCTGCTCCCCCCCTGCCTCCCACATGCTCCTCCCTTCCCGCCGGGGCACCCCTCCACTGTCACCTGGAAGATCAGATCTTGGGCACCCTGGGGCCTGGAGTCCCCGGCCTCCCTGCTCCAGGAACAGCTGGGAGTTCCTGGGGGTCCAGGCGAGATACCCCAGGAATCCCCTTCCTTGTGGTTTCCACCTGCCCCAACCCGGCCATACCCTCCCCAAGTCTGTTCCTGTGTTCTGGATCCCCCTTTTCACCCCACAGCCAGGCTTGCTTTGTTCCTCTAGGCCCATGCAGGTGCCTGGCGGGGAACTGTGTGCCTCCCCGGGGCCGCTTCTGCGTCTCTACCTAGGAACCCTCTCCTCAGTCTCTCCCCACTGCTCCACTCAGCAAGCACCCACAGGGTTGCCAGCTCCTGGCCTCCTACCAAGTGCTCAGATTCCTCCTGCGCACCACAGGGGCTGTTCCCGGGTGGGGGTCTGGCCCGGCCCTAGGGTTGTGCCTGCCGAGTGGGGAGGGGGTGGGTGCATGGCGGGGACCTGATGGCCCACTTCCTGCCCGCAGGCACCATGACTTCCGTGAGGATGCAGAGCTCCTTGGCAGGTCAGACCTATGCAGTGCCCCTCATTCAGCCCGACCTCCGGCGGGAGGAGGCCGTCCAGCAGGTAGCCGATGCCCTGCAGTACCTCCAGAAGGTCTCCGGGGACATCTTTAGCAGGTAGGTGCCACTGCCTTCCCCCCGCAACCCCAGGCAGAGGCTGCCCCCTGCCCTGCCCGCTGGACTCTCCATTCTTTGGAATGCAGTGGCTGGGAGCAGGCCTTTCTGCTAAAGTTGGTTCTGGAGGGACCAGCTGGCTTCCCTGTGACCAAGGCTCAAGCTCCCCTCACCCCAGCCCCTTCCCGCAGCGCAGTGGCCACTGGCCTGGCTCTGGCTCACGTTCCTGCCTCAGTGGGCGGAGAGGCGGCCCACACTTCCTCTACCAGGCATCGGGCTGGCCTGAGTTACAGCAGTTACTGGCCCCCAGAACAGGAACCCTGGGAGCTGAGAGTTCAGGGTGGCAGAGACCTCAGGGAGAGCTGGCTGGGTCTTGCTGGGCGTTGCTTTCTTCCTCTCCTGATTTGTTTTTTCTTTTTGGGTCATACCCAGCGATGCTCAGGGGTTACTCCTGGCTCTGCACTCAGGAATCACTCCTGGCGGTGCTGGGGGACCATATGGGATGCTGGGAATCGAACCCAGGTTGGCTGTGTGCAAGGCACACACCCTCCCCCCTGTGCTATCGCTCTGGCCTGCTTCCTTCTAGGTGTAAGCGTGTATGTGAGGAGAGACCCCCTGGTGTGAGTGCCCCTCCCCCCACAGCACTTCCTCCAGGGTCCATCTGCCAGCCCGCCTGGTTCCACAGCTGCCTGCTCTGACCAGGGTTACCTGCCTCACCCATACTCGCCTCAGCACGAGGGCTGAGTGTGTGGGTGCTGCATCCCCTGAAGGAGGCGTGGGCCAGGGAGGGGACGAGGGTGACCTTCCTTGACAGAAGGAAGTAGGTGCTACGATGAAAACCACATGCTGGTCCCACAAGGTGGCGGGCAGAAACTGGGCAACCAGAAGCCAGGTGCTGCCCCAGCCAGGAAGGAATGTGGGTGCTGGGTCACCTGGAGGGTCTGGAAATGGTGTCCCAGGCCCCTGAGGGGTCAGGCCCTGCGCCTTCACGTTTCACTGCAGAGCAGCAGTGCCCTCCTCGCTGAGGCTCGGCCTGCTCCTCTGTTCCACAGCAGCCAGTGCCACTCCTGCAGGGGGCAAGCTGGGGGGGTGTTCGCATGCCCTTGCCCGTGCCCCCCTCCGGCAGAGCCCAGGACCAGTGCTTGTGGCTCTCTGGCCGCCCCCCCCCAGCTCCTCCCTTCCAGCCTCGGCCTGGCCCTCCCCGCCTTGTACGTCCCCCTGCCCCCACTTCACCTGGGAGAAGCCAGGCCCCAAAATATCTGCCCGAGACCGTCACCTGCTTCACATGACTTCAATGATGGGGCCAAGCGGGCGGTGGTGCGGATTCAGGCGGGGCGGGTGTCCTTCCAGCCACCTGCCAGCCCTGGCTCCCCTCTCCCCCTCCCGCCTCTCTCCTCCCCTTCCTCTCCTTTCCCTTCTTCCCTGCCTCCTCTCCCCCCATCCCCCTGCCCCAGGACCAAGGCTGGAGGCCCCCTCAGCGCCTGCCTGCACAGTTGGCACATCACTCCCACCCACCCTGCGGGTGCAGAGCGGCCAGGCCCAGGGGCCGGGCCAGGTGGGGCGAGGTGAGGGCTGGGCATGGGCCTCCTCTCCCAGCGACCCAGAGGGACTGGCTTGCTGCTTGGGAGGGTCGTAGGCCCGTGGATTTTTTCGGGGAACTTTCCAGTTGGTGAGTGTAGGCCTAGGAGGCCGGGCATCCGTTCACTGTGGCTCTGTGCACCCCTTCCACTTACTCCTGCCCTGGGCTTACTTCCTGTGCCCGAACTTTCTCCTCTGCCTCTGCTGCCCACCCCTTCTTTGAAGTGCTCCCCTTTGCCTTGTCTCTCTTGGAGTGCTGGGAACGCCAGTCCCCTCAGTGATTTTGTTTGGGACCGCACCCAGTGGTGCTCAGGGGCTACTCCTGACTCTGCTCAGGGTTTTCCCACAAACATATGTAGGTGGGGATCAAATCGGTGCCTCCAGGGGCCAGAGAGATGGTGTAGTAGGTGAGACACTTGCCTTGTATATCGCCAACCTGGTTTCGGTCGTGACCCCACTAAGCACCCTCTGTTCCAACCTTCCCCTCTCTCCCCTGAGGTCTTATAGTTAGAAACAGTGTTTTGGTTGAAGTGGAGGCAAAGGCACACTAAACACTCCACATCACACACGAGGGACAGTGTGAAGTTCTGAAGGGCAGGGAGGTCACACCTCTCTCTCCCTGGAACTCCCAGAGTGCAGGTGTGCGACCTGATTTCGCCTCTGCTCTGTGCCGCCCCCCCACCCCTAGCCCTTTGCTTTCCAGCCAAACCCTCGCTGAGCTGCCCACCCAGGGTAGGTGGAAAGGGCCAGGGCTTTTTGCCAGAGGATCTGGGGCAAGGGGATGAACCAGCAGCTGCGTCTCCCATCCCATGTTTGACTTTTCATAGGTAGCACTGGAGCACTGTCCTCCCATTGTTCATCGATTTGCTCAGGCAGGCACCGGTACCGTCTCCATTGTGAGACTTGTTACTGTGTTTGGCATATCGAATACGCCACGGCCACTTGCCAGGCTCAGCCGTGAGGGCGGGGTACTCTCAGTAGCTTCCTCTCCAAGAGGGACGGAGAAATTGAATCTGGGTCAGCTGCATGCAAGACAAATGCACTAACCGCTGTGTTGTCGCTCCAGCCCAACTTTTCATGTATTGATTTCTAATTTTTTTTGTTTTGTTTGGGGGCCACATGTAGCAGTGTTCAGGGCTTACTCCTTGCTCTGTGCTCAAGGATCACCACTGGCAGGGCTTGGGGGACTTGCCAGGGATTAAACCTGGGTTGGCCACGTGGGAGGCAAGTGCTTCTCCTGCTGTGCTCTCTCTCCAAACCCACGTTTGACTTTTTTAACCCTAAATGCTGGGCATCACATTCATTCCTTGCCAACTCCAGCTTGTGGAGGGTAGTTCATTTTTCTGACCTCTCAACATTGGATCCTGATCCCTCAGAGACTTATCTTTGGCCACCATGCTCTCTCCCCTAGTCTCTCAAGTTTTCTAATCAAGTGTTAAAGTTGCTGCGTGGGGCCATGCCAGGAACCTTCCCGCAGAGCTGGACTCGATCCAGTCTTCTGCAGCTCGGTGTGCGTGTTGCTGTTCACCTGACTTGGATTTTTCCTAAATAGACTCTTCCTTCCAAGCTCCCTTGCTCCAGCTTGTGCAGAGGGTTTTGTGAGAAGCCGTCAGAATCCTTGCTGACTTAAGTCAGCACAATATTTAAGATTTTCCCCTGCTAGACCCTTCTAATAACTCTGTCCAAGGCAAAAAAAAAAAAAAAAAAGGAAAGAAAACAAGAAACTCTGTGAATTTAGAACATGCTGGTCCCAGGGAGCTGCCTCTGTGTTTTTTGTTTGTTTGTTTGCTTTTTGGGTCACACCCGGCAATGCACAGGGGTTACTTCTGGCTCTGCACTCAGGAATTACTCCTGGCGGTGCTCGGGGGATCCCATAGGATGCTGGGAATAGAACCCAGCTTGGCCACGTACAAGGCAAATGCCCTATCTGCTGTGCTATTGCTCAAGTCCCCTGCCTCTGTTGTTTTCCAAGAGCCCACGGACCCTCTATTTAATGATCCTGTTTGGAATGCATCATTATGAATGTATGTCGTTTGGAGAGATCAGCTTTCCGCTTCCTGATGGAAGAACCAGAACTGGCCTGTGTCTAGTCCCGTCCTTATCCCCTCCCAGTCTGCACCTGTTTCCGGGGCATGGGTATTGCCCGGAGGTTGCTGGGGGTTGCAATGTGGCTGGCCGGGACGGAAGAATCTGGTTGAACTCATGTCCCCCACCCCCCCATACACACACGGTGGTTTACGACCCCCTCTTCTTGCTGAAAAGGTGGTGCTTCTCATGTGGGGGCTGTATTCTCGAAGGGGTGGGAAACAGTTCCTTCTGTCAGTGGCCCCACCCAGGCCCATGTGTCCAGGAGATTCCAGCTGCTTTGAAGGCCAACCCCACCTCATGGAGCCCCCTGCCTTGTGTGGAAGCAGGAAGTGATTGGGAGTGAAACCCCAGGGCTGGGAGATTGACTGGTTGGGAATGTCTGGGGGGTGCGGGTAGTTTGGGGAGGTTGCGCCAAGGTGTTGACTGACCATTCCGACCTTGGTTGTTCTTGTGGGTTGTCACACAGGCAGCACCCAGGGGCTTCTCCTCATGCTGCACTCAGAGGTATCTCCCAGCCATACTTTGGGCGTGGGGGTGTCGTCATGCAGTGCTAGGGACCAAACCCAGGCCTCCTGTATACAAAGCATGCACATTAGCACTTTAAGCTCTCTCCCCCTCGTTTTGCCCTTTAAGGAAACCCCAGTCCCAGACCCTGTATTCTCCAGCCCCCTAAATATCATGGCCCCTTTGACCATTCCCCCATCCCGTCCCTTTCCCCTTGAACTTGACGTTCCACTTGCCTTCCATTTTGCGCAGGCGTACGCCACAGGAATGCAGAGCTGAAAGGCCCTGGGCGTGGGGCCGTTGGCGCTGGGGTTGGAGTGGCTGGGAGAATGTGCTTAGATGCATGGATGCGGGGACCAGTCACTATCGTCCCGTCGTAAGCGCAGCCCCCCCCCCCCCCCCCCAGAAGCACCAGGCTCTGCAGCACGCCCCGGCATTACAGGTGGCAGCAGAACCAAGCTAGAGAAAGAGCTCAGCGGGCAGGACGCTGGGCTCGGGGTCTGTCCCCAGCATTCCATGTGGTCCCCCGAGTGCCACCAGGCGTAATTCCTGAGTGCAGAGCATCACTGGGTGTGGCCTCCAATCCCTAAAATAAGAAACAAAACCCACAAAAACCACACTGGAGCTGCTGGGCCCAAGAGACGCGTGGTCATGTGATCATGTGACCCACAGGACGAAAGGGGGCAGGGCGGGAAGTGCAGGTGCATGTTCTTCCCGCAGAGAGGAGGGGCTCAGCGAAGAAGGGTCCTGCAGATGTCTGGGGGGCTTGCATGTCTTTGACGCTCAGGCCACAAACCAAGAACGCAGATGTCGCCTTCTGGGGACGGTGGGGGGTCCCTGGATCCCAGCGACCAGGTGAGTGGGCAAGGAAGCTGGTGAGGCATCTAGCCATGGAGGGCCCCAGGGAGGACTTCAGCTTTCCCCACATGAGCCTTTCCCGTGCACTGGGGCAGTGCTCACAGGATTTGGCTTTGGGCCCGGCATTGCAGGTCACCTGGCCTGGCCCAGCTCCAGTTTTCCCACTGGGAAACAGGCGAATCTGTCTGGGGAAGTACTGGCAATTCTCTCTCTGCTTGAGGGTGAGCTCGGGGTCATAGGAACCCTGTCCCCGTGGATGGGCACATCCAGTGACACTTGGGACTAGAGTGGCTGATCATGTTTCCAGCTCACAGGAGTTGACTAAATATCATTCCTGCACCGTGCCCTGGATCAACCCGGTCAAGCCTATTAGGCGGTTCTGGAGTCTGCTGGGCAGCCCCCTGTTAGCAGCACGGGTGGGGGGGCAGTCCCCAGCCTGTGGCCTTTCTCTCTATGCAGGATCTCCCAGCGTGTGGAGCAGAGCCGGAGCCAGCTTCAAGCCATTGGGGAAAGGGTCTCCTTGGCCCAGGCCAAGATAGAGAAGATCAAAGGCAGTAAGAAGGCCATTAAGGTAGGCGTTTGGCCCAGTGGCCTCCACTCTGCCTCAGAGTCTGCTCTGCCCACATTCCTGTGCTACGGAGCTCGCCTGCCCCTGCCTCTGCTGACCGCCCCTCCCCAGGGCTCCCTCCCGCCCAGCCTTCTCTGCAGCCAGTCCTTGGCCCATTGGGCTGTCTCAGGCTCCTGGACCACGGGACTCAGGTTCCCCCGTGCCTGCAGGTGTTCTCCAGTGCCAAGTACCCAGCTCCGGAGCACCTGCAGGAGTATGGCTCCATCTTCACGGGGGCCCAGGACCCCGGCCTGCAGAGATGCCCCCGCCACAGGATCCTGAGCAAGCACCGGCCCCTGGACGAGCGGACCCTGCAGGTCTGTGGGCACTCAGCTCCCGCCGGCTACTGTGCCCAGTGGCCCCCACGTTAGGATTCCAGTCCCCCAGAGCATAGACTGGGACGGGATGGAGGTTGCTGGGCCTAATGCAGAATGCAGCATCCCTCTGTCCCCCCTCCAGGAGAAGCTGAAATACTTCCCCGTGTGTGTGACCACCAGGCTGGAACCCGAGGATGAGACCGAGGAGGGCCTGGGGGGTCTTCCCAGCAACATCAGCTCAGTCAGCTCCCTGCTGCTGTTCAACACCACCGAGAACCTGTACGTCTGGTGGGGGGTGGGGCTGGGGCTCGGGCTCCCCTGCAGGGTCCCCATCTGTGGCTTAGCCCTGTGGGGGGCTTCGGAAGTCTGTGCTTTGGGAATCCATACACCAACTCGAGGGCGCTCCTGGAACAGCACAGGGGGGTCAGGGCCACGGGCCTCCGCAGGTTGAGCCTGGCACCCACCTCCACAGGTACAAAAAGTACGTCTTCCTGGACCCCCTGGCTGGCGCGGTCACCAGGACCCACGTGTCACTGGGCACCGAGCCGGAGGAGAAGCCGTTTGACGCGCCGCTCTCCATCAGCAAGAGGGAGCAGCTGGAGCGGCAGGTGGGCAGCAAGCTGTGGCGGGGGGGCGGCGGGCGAGCCCAGGGTGCCTCTCACGGCCGGCCCTCCCCCCACAGGCCCCCGAGAGCTACTTCTACGTGCCCGACCTGGGCCAGGTGCCCGAAATCGACGTGCCGTCCTACCTGCCCGACCTGCCAGGCGTGGCCGATGACCTCACCTACAGCGCCGATCTGGGCCCGGGAATCGCGCCGTCAGCGCCGGGCACCATCCCCGAGCTGCCCGCCTTCGCCACAGAGCTGGCGGCGCCCCCCAAGCCCGGTGAGCCCCGGGGGCCGGGCGGGGACGGGCTCCTGGGTGCCCCCCCCCCCCCCCCGCCCCCTTCCCGGGCACCCTGGCCTTTCTGCCTTTCTGTTTCAGACCTAGACGGTGGCGTTCTTGCAGCGCCACTGCCGCCGCCGCCACCCCCGCCGCCACCACCCCTGGCCCCGGCCGTGCTGGTCAGCGCCCCCCCCGCCACCGCCGCCACCCCCCCAGGAAGCCACCCCGGAGGACGCGGGCAGTGCGGGGCCCAGGGCAGGTAGGAGCAGCGACCCTCGGCTCTCCCACCCGCCCCTCTGTCTGCTTTCTGGCTCCGGGAAGGCCTCTCCTGGCCTGCTAAGTGGCCTTTCGCTCCCGGTCTTGGGAGCAGTGCTGAGTCCAAACATCTTGTTCCACTGGAATCCTCAGAGGGTGTAGTGGAGCCCCACGGGTACAACCCTGACTCCTGCAGGACTCCAGGGGGGTCCCCCCTTCCGGTATGCCCAGCAGGGAAAGGGGCTTCCCGAACAGCGGAAGCAGAGCTCCCGCACCCAGAGGGCACACCTGTCTCGGGGGCACTTCTGGCACCGGCAATACCTGGCCGCCTTTGCAGGGTGACACCTCCCCCAGTTAGGGACACGGAGGACACAGCTAGCACCCAGGTCCCCAAGTACCAGCTCCCTCACCCCAGCACCCCAGCGAGGCTGGGCAGCGTTGCCCCCCAGCCGAGCCCCTGCCCAGGCCACTTCTCTTCCTCACACTGTTGCCCACCCCAGCGCCAGTCCAGGGAGCCCCCAAGGAAGTCATGGACCCGTCCAGTGGCCGGGCCACTCTGCTCGAGTCCATCCGCCAGGCTGGGGGCATCGGCAGGGCCAAGCTGCGCAGCGTCAAGGAGCGCAAGCTGGAGAAGAAGAAGCAGAAAGAGCAGGAACAAGGTGAGGAGACACTGAGGCAGCTCATGGGGGTGTTGTGGGGAGGAGGAAAGGGTGCCTCCTGTCCCAGCCTCCTGCTGTCCCCACGGGTCAGCTGTCAGTGCCCCCTCTGCGGTGAGTCTAAGCCCTGGGGCCCCCCTCTTCACCCCCCACGTCCTCCTACCTGATCCCATTTTTGGAACTTGCTTAGCTGAACTTGCCTCTCTGAGCTGGTAGGAGACAGCCTCATCAAAAGATGAGAGAATGGAAAATGTTCTTTTTTTTTTCTTTTTGGGTCACACCTGGTGATGCTCAGGGGTTACTACTGGCTTTGCCCTCAGGAATTACTCCTGGCGGTGCTGGGGGCCGTGCTATGGGATGCGGGGAATCAAACCTGGGTTGGCTGCATGCAAGGCAAATGCCCTCCCCACCGTACTATCGCTCCAGCCCCAAATGTTCTGTTTGAGATGGAGGACACAGAGGTTAGCTCCAGCGGCTTCTCGCAGATGCTTGCGGCCACAGCTCCTGTGCACTGCAACTCCCAGACCTATTGGTCAGCCCTGGGCACAGAGCTGCAGCCACAGGCCCAAACCCCAGAACCCCATGAGCTCTGCACGGGAACCCCTCCTGGGGCTAGTTTTGTGCCCAGGCAGGGGACAGATCGACTTACCCTTTTGGCACATGGAGGGCTATGATAGTGCCAGGAGAGTCACATTTTAGGTGAGTGCCCTAGAGCTGAACCCAGGACAGACCGAAGCTCCAGGAGCCTGGGGGAGCGAGCCCTGTGAGCAGAGAAAGCGGGTCGGACCCTGAGGAAAGTTGAGCGACACGTGTAGGGCGCCTGGTACTTGGTGCTAACCCCTGACTTGTCATGGTGTTCCGGTGTTCCTGTTGCAGCGAGAGCCACCAGCCACGGCGGAGACCTGATGTCAGATCTCTTCAACAAACTGGCCATGAGACGCAAAGGTCAGAGGCAGCGTGAGGCGGTGTGGGGCCCACCCTGCCCTGCGCTTCATGTTTTTCTGTCTCTAGCGGCTGGGGGAAGCGGGGCCCCCAACCAGCCCCCTCACCCCTCCCCCTCCCCCCTTTCCCTCCCAGGTATTTCCGGGAAAGGACCTGGGGCAGGGGACAGCGAGGGGCCAGGCGGAGCCTTCGCCCGAATGTCAGACTCCATCCCGCCTCTGCCACCTGCACAGCCTCCCCCAGGAGAGGGAGAGGAGGATGACGGTGACTGGGAATCCTAGGGCCTCGGCCACCCACTCTGGTGCCCCACACCCAGGCTCAGGCTAGTGCCCCCTCGAGGGGCCGACAGCCAACACGGGGACTGTGCCTACCGGACCCCTCGGCCCCTGTGTCCCGGGAGGGACTGCAGAGAACTGTCCCGGGCCTGACCTTTGAGGAGCACGTACTGACAGCGTGGGGTGGGGAGGCGGCCATGGCTCTGTCGCCGCACGTCCCCGAGGAGACTTGAAGACTCAGTGCGGATTAATAAATGGCAAGAACACAGCCTCGACCCTTAGCAGTGCGCTTTGAATGAAGTGCAGAGTGCAAACATGCCACCTTGTCCTCCAGGCATCCTGCACCTCTTCCCCTGTGGTCAGGGTGAGCTGGGGAGGGCAGTCAGGGTCAGCAGGGGCGGCTGCTGCTGATTGGAGGGGGGAGTTTTCACACAGGACACAAAAATGGGTGACAGATACAGGGTTTCTAAAAAAGGTCACGCGGTGTGCCTCATGGCCCTGGTTGCAACTGCCCGTGTCAGAGCAGGTGTCTGGAGGCTGCTTAGTAGCTGAGAGGGATGGGAGGCAGGACCAGGCGAGGAGGCCAGGGAGAGCTGCCGAGGGGTGCGGCATGGCTGCAGGGAGGGGGGCCTGTGGCCGGACCTCGCCAGAGGCTCCCTCCCAGGGCCAGGGAGCTGCTTGAGGGGACAAAGTTCCCATCCAGGAAGAGCCCTGTGGGCTCAGGGTGGGCATGGGGAACGTTCCTCGTTCCCAGGAGAGAGGGAAAGGTCTCGGTCTGCTGGTTTTGGCTAGAAAAAAGAAGGGGAGAGGCAGGCTGGGCAAAGGAAGCTGGTTCCGAGGAAGTGGGTGAGGACCAGGTGCAGCCTGGGGGCAGCAGGAGCCCCTGTACCTGAGGCCCGACAGTCTGGTGTGGTAGGCCCAAGACATCTCTGGAGCCGCGGGGTGCTGTGTTCACATGTGTGTGGCGGGGACTGTGGCTGCTCACCTTTTCCTGGCAGCACCTCGGCCCAACCGGCCACTCTTCTGCCAGCAGGCGTGGACCTGGTGCTGGTTCCCACAGGAGGGGACGACACCAGCCCCCCAGACACCACAGCACACAGGCTATAGAGAATGTGGCCCGTCCCAGGCAGCTGAGGGAGACAAGGCGGCTGGAGAGCGAGAACAGTGGGTAGGGCAGTGCGCCTGCTTGCCCGACATGCTGCCAACCCCCATTCAATTCCTGGAACCCTGTGTGGTCCCCCGAGTTCCATCAGGAGTGATCCCTGAGCACAGAACCAGGAGTCATCCAGGAGCACTGCTCAGTGTGGCCCTCACAAAAAAAAAAAGCAAGGGCCCCCATGAGGCTCCTACACCTTCCCATGGGCAGTGGACTCCGGGAAGCAGACGACGGCCTTGTGGCTCCTCTGGGGTGGAGCTTGCCAAGCACACCCAGTGATGCTTCTGGTGAGTGGAAGCGCCTGGGGCAGACCACAGAGCTAACAGCACTCAGGGAAGGCCACAGAGTCCTTCCTTTTCTCATGGCCAGTGTCCAGGTGGGCAGTAGGAGACTGAAAGGCTATTGTAGCCTACTGGGCACTTAAAACTCTGGGTATGACCAACACCTGCGCAGAAACTAAGGGGCTGGGGATTAAGGTACTTGATTTGAGTTGATTAGATGCACACTCCAAGAGGCCCCACTCTGGCACCCCAAATGGTTCCCTGGGCACTGCCAGGGGTGATCTCTGAGTACAGAGCCAGGGCTACCTCCCGAATACTTCCGCGTGTGCCTCTCTACCCCACCCCCCAAATAAATGTGGATGTGGACGCACAGCTTGACCCTGAGAAGCTTGCACAGACCGTTCCTCCTCGCCCTCTCCCTCCACCCCTCGTCCCTCAAGTGTCTCTCCTGCCCAGGGAAAGACAAGCTGGCGGCTCCTAACTGAGGCAGCTCCATGCTCTGCTGTGTGACCTCCAGCTGCCGGGAGGAGGGTCCAGTGCAGAGTTGAGGGGCAGGATATTGTCTGGGGGATCATGTGAGCTGGTTTGAGCCCCAGTGGGGGAATGAAAACTGGAGGTGCAGGCTCTTCTGAAAGGCGGGGTCCAGAAAGGGCACCCCCAGCCCCATCTCAAAATGAAACAACCCAGAGTGCAACACCCCATCACCACCATTTCCACCATGGCATTGGATGGTGTACCCCACCCACTGTAGTTGGGAGGGTTGTCGGGGGACACAGCGGATGAGGGTGGAGGGCTTAGCCTGCAAACGCTCAGACCCCACCTCAGGATCCTCCCACCTAGACGGGTTTCAGCCCCACTGGGCCCTGGGGTCTGAGGGGGCACAAGGCAATAGAGCAGGTGGCCCCTCGTGGCTCATGACGAGTCTCTACAGGAGCGCAGCCTGTCCGCTTGCTGGGTCCTGCTATCCAATGTAGGTCTTGCCAATCCTGCAGGAAGAAGCTCCCTGATCTGCTGAAGATCCCGAGTGGTGAGGCTTGGGTTGGGAGGAGGAGCAGGGGGCCAAGGGCAGATTCCGGGAGATGAGACCTGAGGAGTAGGAGGGACTTGTGGTGAGAAGAGAATGGGGGCCAGCCCTGTGTCCCCAAGAGGCTGAGTGCATGGGTCTCCTTCAATGAGCCATTTCCTTACTTTACACTGAACAGAGTTGTGGGGCAAGTTCTCAGGAGGACTGCTGGAACTCTTCTGGGTGGGCAAGCAGGATTTAGCAACCCAAGAGGCCTGGGTTTGCATCCTTGAGCCGTTTATCGGACACTGACCATTTGAAAGGCCACACCATTGTGTCCATCTGACCTTTGGGAAGGGCCCATCGATGCAGCCAAGTGGGCACATAGTTGTGTGTGGGGTTTCTGAAGAGGATGGGATGAGGTGATGGAAAGGCAAGCCTGGGATCCTGGCCTGGCCTGGCCCTTCTGACCTTGGGGTGGGTGCGCTCTTCTTTCCTAGATAATGATAAAACATCATTAAAGATATCATTTTAGAAAAGGATAATCAAAGATAATGCATCCAGCTGTACAATAAAAGTAAACCACACCCCAAAAATACCTCAGGAAAGAATTGAAAGAATCTAATGATATGCCTTTATGAAAATTATAGCCTATAAATGAATTTATGGCATTTGCAGGCTTTTATACTAGTTGCTTTGTAAAGAAAAGTATTGTATTACTGTCCTTGAATGCCATAGTTGGAGAGAGTTTTTAATAGAACCATGTTGGTTACACTTTGTAGTGTTTGGTGCTCATTTAAGTATCTGAAACTTTACTACGTTTTTACTCTATTGTGTAATATAAAACAATCTTCCAAAAAAAAAAAAGAAAAGGGGATGGGAGCGCAGGCTACTGGAGGTGAGCACTCCCCAAGCATTCATCCTCCACAGCTGCCCCCTTCCCTTCCCTTCCCTTCCCCGGGGTGAAGAACTGGGCTCAGCTGCCTACAAGTCTCTGGGAAGGAGGAGAAGCCCTGGGAACCCCATGCAAGGAGGAGCCCCCCATCATGCTGCCTGCCAGCCCACCTCCCTCTGCTCATGGGGATCCTTCCCTGGTCCCGTGTCTCCTCCCCCTGCATCAGCGTCTCTTACACCTTCTATTCACCTCTGAACCCACTTTCAGGAGGTGATAGGGGTCAAGGCTTTGCTGTGTCCTCATGTAGGTTGTTGGTCTTGGCCACCCATGCGTCATCTGTGCTATGGGAAATCTCCTCTCACCCAGAGTAACCTGGCAGTCTGGTGACCGGGAAAGGGCTCTAGCCAGTCAGGGGCATTCCTTACCCATGTTCACGTGTTGTCGTTCTCAAGTCCTGATGAAGCCCATCTTGGGTTTTGAGTTTCCTCACTGCCTGGACCCTTTATCTGCGTGTGCACATCCTGCCGCCTGTTACAACTTTTTTCTTTTGACCCACTTCATGGGCGAGAGGAGCTGTCCCCCTCCCCTAGGACCCCCCTTTCCCTTCTTCAATTTTCCAGGCAGTTCTTGGTGACCATCAATGATGACTTGGCTAAAGGACATTCTTCTAGTTTTCTTAAAGAAAGATAACTATTTCAACAAAATGAGGTTGTTCGGGGATAAAAGCTGTGTGTGGGTTTGGGTTTATTTGCAAGAGACCCACTGGGAAAGGTGGGGTGGAGGAGACTGGGGGAATGTCCCTGAAATGCAGGCCTTGGAGAAGATGAACCACTTCAAGAAGATATTTTTTGTCTCATAGACTTGTTTATTAAGACATGGGCTCTAGGACCTTTGAAACACATCCCTGGCACTGTTTAACAATATTGTTTGGGGCATAGTATGATTTTCGCCACTTGAGCCAGTGCTCAAAGATTGTTGCAGGTAGTGCTGGGGGAGCACATTGTGTGGGGATAGAATCTAGACCTCCTGTGTGCAAAGCATGTGTCCAGGTAAACGAGTTACTTCTTTGTTTTTCATTTTTAATTTATTTTTTTAAAGTTGTTCACAATAATTTATTACATTCAATTTTTTCCGCACCAATCTTGACACCATTACAACCATCCCACCACCATTATTTTCAATTTCCCCATCACCACCTCAAACTGCCCCTAAAGCACATACTAAATAAGTCATTTTGTATTGCTTGTTATGAATAATCTGCTAAAAATGATCCCCAAAAAGTTTCCTTAGAGGAAAGTGTATGAAGAGTGTTATATCTTGCCCTGGAGTCATTAAGCCCTTGTATAAGAGATTACTAACATGTTACAGGTTGACCCTTCTGTGCTAATATATATATGTATATATTTATATATAAATAGGTTGCCTTCTACATTACACACCATTAAATGTGGTGTGCTACTCTTGGTACATCAGTGGGGCAGAGTATGGGATGTCATGTGGCCGCATGCTCCAGGAATTCTAATGAGCTACATCTGAGCTTCCTCAGAAAGGAGCACCAAATAAAGAGTGTTGGGAGGATCCTCCCAGGATGGGAGAAGCATGCTAAAAGTAGACTATAGACCAAACATGATTGCCACTCAATGTCTCTCTTGCAAACCACAGAACCCAAAAGGAGAGAGAACAAAAGGGAATGCCCTGCCACAAAGGCAGGGCGGGATGGGGAGGATGGGGGGTGGGAGGGATACTGGGACCCGTGGTGGTGGAAAATGGGCACTGGTGGAGGGATGGGTACTTGATCATTGTATAACTAAAACCCAAGCACAGAAGTTTGTAAGTCTACAACTGTACCTCATGGTGTTTCACTAATTAAAAAAAAATAAAAAAGATAAAA